CATTTTAATGGTTTCAAGTCATATAAAATTTTTTCTTCTATATTTCATCCCAGTGACAATCTGAAGAGGGCTGCAGAACAGTTGCTGTAGTATTGTATCATCGTGTATTGTCTTACTTCTAGGCCATGCCTCTTAATATCATCTGGTTTTCTCCCTTAGAAGGAGTGGTTTAAATTTTATTTTGTTATCAATAATGTATGTGTTTCTTCTGTGTTTGTTTCAGATATATAGCTTTGTTATTGGATTTACCAATATTTGTGTCTAATATTGCCAGTGAAAAAGAGTCTACCTTTAACATGCACCAGCATGGTAATGCTTGAACTAATGCCTATCTGCACCTGATTGTCTATCAATGTCTGCATCCATTGCCTGACTTCCAATTTACCTTGAAGTGACTGTTAACCCAATCATGCTTGCTAAACTGCCGGTACTCTGGTTCTTCCATATACTCGTGTTTCATAAGCAACTTCAATGCTCCTCAAGGGTGAGTTGCAGTGAACTGGTAATATGATGCATTAATTTCCTGTCCTAACCATGTCATGCCTGTGCATCCAATTTGGCTTGTGATCTTGGTAAAATTTTGGTTGCTATTACAGTTATTGAGCATTTCTTTGCTTATGAGTGTTTACATTGTGACATTTGCATTACAGCATTAGGTCTTGTGTTATGCTTTGTGTTCCCTCTCGCTATACTGTACTGAGTAAGTGTCCTGCTTTTTGCTGAAGCTTTATACCCGCTTGCTAAATTTAATCTCAATCTTAACTGTATTCACTTGAATAAAGTTAAGATTTTTACTGTTCCCTTTACCACGTTTTACTGTTCCTTTTACCACATTTTACTGAGCCTTCAGCACATTTTAAGTGGGCTACGGCCCTAAGATTGTCCATTCTGGTGAATGTGTATTTGAGTGTGAAATTCCACCCTCAAAGTATCCCAAAGTTTTGTAAATCTCTCTTTGGTCAAAATTGTAAGCTAAACTGGGACTGCACTGTTGTTGGAGCTGCTGCTGGAGGACCATCTTCAAATGCTATAATATCAAAATCTGTGAAATTAAATTCTAGTGATTTTAAGAGCAACAAGTGCTCATAATCTGTGAAATTAAACTTTAGTGATTTTAAGAGCAACAAGTGCTTATGATATGTGAAATTAAACTCTAGTGGTTTTAAGAGCAAGTGCTCATGATCTGTGAAATTAAACTCTAGTGATTTAAAAGCAACCAGTGCTCCTGCTGACCTATTAATTATATTCCTAGGCAGGGATTTTAGAGCAAAAGATTTCCAGACCCTCATACGTCATGTGGACATCATTGCCTATCGTCCAATAGGCAATCTGAGGCCAGAACAAGCACAGGTGTGCCTTTCTGCTGGCAGCTTTGTTGTTGAGGAAATTAGAAAGAAGGAAGTAAGGGAAACAGCAATTTTACTGAGTAGGTTTCTAGAATAATTTCCTACATCACCTGCAGGGGGTGCATTATTTTCTTCATATCAAGGAAGGAAAGAAATGCGCTTGTGAAATCCTCTGTAAAGCTTTGGCTGTCTTGCTTGTGGACCTTCGACTTGATTGAAGTTTCATTGAAGGGAAGGTCTGGCAGTGGTAGATGAGTGGGGTTTGGATGAGGTGGAGTCCCACTGAGGCATTGCTTGGGAGCACTGCAGGGGAGAACGATAGGGAGGCTGTTTCTAGCATCTAGCATTAGCCCTAGCAAGCAGCAAATTATGCCACCCTCTGCTTTTAGGAAGCCTGGTAGGGAAGAAAGAAAGAGAAAGTAGGGAAGCGATGGGGGATGATGCACAACAGTCAGACTCTTGTGGCACCTGTAGCAAACCCTGTGTAAAATCAGGGGAGGCTCTTGAATGTGGAATTTGCAACCGCTGGTTCCATATTTCTTGTCAGGATGTGGATCAGGCTATGTTCGAGGTGGTCATGAAGGATAAGTGTTCCGCAATACCGCTTCTTCACTGGTACTGCAAGTCGGTGTGCCTAAAGCTAGCCACAAACTTCATCGACAGCCTCCTCAAGATGCAGGCCCAGGTTGGGAGACTGGGAGTGGAGGTTTCTGAGGCAAAGGGTAGGGTGGGTGAGATTGAAGATGGGCACTTTACAACGGCAATGGAAGAGAGTGTAAGAACGCTGGCCACAGAAAACACTGGCGGCGGAGCAGATATGGCTCCTGAATTTAGTAGGGAGGAAATTTTGAAAATGGTTGTCGAAAAAATCAATGAACAAAACAAGGAGGGTGAGGACCGAAGCCGCAGTAGTAAGAACCTAATCATCTTTGGACTTGCTGAGCCGCAGAGGGGCAGGGACAGGAGAGGGGACGAGGAGGACCTACGTAGATCAGATAGGATACTGCATGAAGCCAAGTGAGGTCAGAAGCCACAAGAAGTCCAACGTCTTGGAAGCTATGTCACTAACGCAACCAAGCCAAGACCACTCAGGCTCTCTTTTGCCCATCAGGCAGAGAGAGATGAAGCCCTCCAGGCCATACGCAAAGCCAAGATAGAGGCGCGCAGAGCGGGAGCATTGGGAGAGGGAGGACTGTGCCTGAGGATAGGTGCATGTAGGGATTTGACCCCATTGGAGTGGAGGGAGGATGAAGCCTTATTCAGAGAAATGAAAGAGAAGCAGGAGGAGTCAAGACGATGGGGGGATAGTGATGCCGTGTGGGTGAGAAAAAACGGCAAGGTGGTGAACGTGGACAAGTACCCGATCCAGTGAGCCCAGGTGGAGGACGGCAGGTAGGTGGTGGGAGATCAGGTGAACAAAATTGCAATACAGGCACCTGCTCTGATGCTTCTGTGGTCAAGTCATTCGTGTGTTTGTACACAAATGCCAACAGTTTGTTAAACAAGCGATCGGAATTGGAGGCGCTCATAGAACTGCGCAGACCAAGCATTGTAGGAATAACCAAGGTTAAACCAAAAAACTCCAGGTTCGAAGTTCAAGCGTGTGAGATTTTGATTCAGGGATATGAAGTCTTCCACAACTTGGAAGGGGAGGGGAGGGGGGTTTGCTTGTACATCAGGAGCGAGCTGCAGCCGATTCGTAGAGATTTGCCAAGTGCCTTCGAGGAGTTTGTGTTGGTTGATTACCAGCTGCCGGATGATGAAGTTCTTTGCGTAGGTGTTGTTTACCGGAGTCCCAGAAGCTCAGAAGCAAACAATCAAAACTTGAACCTTTTGCTGCGTGCTGTGTCTGAAACAAAACAGCATCATTTGCTGTTAATGGGTGATTTCAACTATACTGAGATTGAGTGGAACAACGAGATTTGTAATCATGGCGTTGGCCATCCAGCAAGAAGTTTCCTTTCTGCAGCACAAGAAGCATTCCTAATACAGCACCAGAGAGAAGCTACCGGACTCAGGGTTGGCCAGCGACCAACACTAGACGATCTGATCCTGACAAATAGACCAGACTTGGTCAATGAAATAACCACTACGTCGGCACTTGGGAAGAGTGATCATGCTGTGCTGGTCATTGAGGTTGCTTGTGGCCTTCAGATGCCTTGGGAAAGGAAGCATTACAATTTCTCAAGGGCAGATTACGAGGGAATGAGAGGGGCGCTTGGTGATGTGGACAGGGAGGGTGAGGTGGGGGGCTTGGATGTAAACCAGGCATATGAAATCTTCACAGACCACCTGCACAGAAGCATGGCCAGGTTTGTCCTGATCTCAAGGTGCACAGAAGCACATAGAAAAAAGTGGCTCGATGGGGACACTCTGACTTCAGTCAGAAAAAAACATAAGCTATATCGGCGTTGGATGCAGAGCGGGGTGGGAGAAGACTATGAAGCATACAAGAAGGCTAGAAATCAAGCAGCTAGATCACGCCGCGTGGCAAAAAGGAGGCTCGAAGCAACAGTAGCTGCTCAGGCTAAAAGTAACCCCAAATCCTTTTGGTCGTACGTGAAAGCTGAAACAACGTCTAAATCAGGAGTTACTTGAGACGGGAGGATGGGTCGAAGACCGTGTCTGATGAAGAGAAAGCAGATGTCCTAAACAAATTCTTCCACAGTATTTTTACTGAGGAAAAGGGTGGCAAATTACCGGATATGCCCGTCTATCACTGGAAGGAAGAGCTGTCGCACTTTGTGATTACAGAAGAGGTAGTGAGAAAGTCTCAAAAGCCTGAAGAAGGACAAAGCCTCAGGCCTGGATGGGTTGAGCCCTTGCCTGTTAGCAGAAGTTGCCAACGCAATCGCCCGGCCTGTTGCCATCATCTTCAGAAAATCCCTGGAGTCAAGCGCTATTCCAGATGCCTGGAGAAAAGCAAGGGTCACTCCAGTTTTCAAGAAATGGAGTCGCCTGCAGGCCAGCAATTATAGGCCAGTTAGCCTGACATGTGTTCTCTGTAAATGTATGGAAGCCCTTGTGAAAGAACAGATCATGGCACATCTACACCGTAACAACCTCTTCAGCAGAAAGCAGCATGGGTTCATTGGAGGGCATTCGTGCGTCACACAGCTGCTCGAGACGCTGGATATATGGACAGAGATCTTGGATGAAGGGGGCTCTATAGATGTTATCTACAGGGACTACATGAAGGCATTCGACTGTGTTCCACATCGACGCTTGGTGGCAAAGATTGAAGCACACGGTATAAAGAGGAGAGTGCTGGGATGGGTTGAGGATTTCCTGAAAAACAGGAAGCAATGTGTCGTTGTCAACGGAGTAGAGTCGAGTACAGCAGATGTGGTGAGCGGTATACCTCAGGGGAGTGTCCTTGGTCCTATATGCTTCGTTCTGTATATCAACGACCTGCCCCGTCATGTCCTGAGCCATGTGGAGCTCTTTGCGGACGATACCAAGGTCTTTGCTCGCAGTGACGACACAGTTGCCAGAGAGACCCTTCAGGGTGACCTGGACCGGCTGTACAAGTGGTCGACAGACTGGCAGCTGCGCTTCCACCCCAAAAAATGCTGTGTCCTCCGTCTGGGAAATTGAAGCAACAGCACCCAATATAATATGATGGGTAGAGACGCTCTGGGTAATGAGTATGTAATGCCGATGAAGGAGAGCAAATCGGAGAGAGACTTGGGAGTGCTGGTGGATGGAAACCTAAAATTCAACCTTCATGTAGCTCAAATAGCTGGGAAGGCTAACAGAATTTCGGGCGTTATCAGGCGCACTTTTGATTTTCTTACTCCAGAAACATTCGTTCAGCTTTTCAAGTCTCTTGTTCAGCCAGTTCTGGAATATGCACACTCTGTATGGCAGCTGCAACACAAGACCCTCTGCGCCGACCTGGAAGATGTCCAGAGAAGGGCGACCAAACTGATCGCAAGTCTCAAAGACAAGCCTTACCAGGAGCGTTTGGTGGCTTTCAGCCTGCCTAGCTTGGAGCACTGCAGACTGAGAGGGGATATGATTGACGTCTTCAAGTATGTCCATGGAGCCTACGATGCTGACCGGCCGAAGCTGCATCCTCACTACGGAAGGGATACATGAGGTAATAGCCTGAAGCTTGCCAAAGAACGCAGTATAAGAAATGCGAGATCAAGCTTCTTCTCCCAGAGGGTGGTGTCAGTATGGAACGACCTTCTGGACAGCGTCGTAACTGCCCCCTCTGTGAGCAGGCTTGACAATTACTGGGCGGGCCAACCGGGCCTTTTTGATCCTGAGTGCTACCATTAGCCTTTCAGTTTGCGGTCACCTGGGGTGCACCATCTGCGCGTGTAACCTAATAGGGCAGCTATGCTGAGGGCAAACAAGGCGGGTGAACAGGCTTGAGTGCCTACTACACCGACAATTCAATTCAATTCAAATTGAAGTACGAGTTAATAGTACGAGTTAATAATAACAAATAGACTCAAGTTTTGTATTTGTTAATTTGATAGGAGCAGTCGGTGTTTGATCCAGCTGGCAAGCTGTTTTGGAGACCTGGAGTCCTTAACTGCAAGCTCTTGACCTTCCTCTCCTGAGTACCATCACTAATCTGAACTCCTTGAAGAATGCAGTGCTTATGCTCATATATTGTACCAAATTGGATGTTACCCTAATTGACTGCATAACTGACCAATCATACCAAGCCAACTCATTAGCCATTGCTGTGCTCTTTTTATGGTCTCCTAGTTAGGGTAGATAATTGCATAGTGTTAGGAGCCTATGCCTCTTGTTGACTGCATTGATTAGGACCGTGACTTGAATTGGTGCCTGAAATAACCTGACTTCACTAGTTCAGAGCCTTACTTTGACTAGATAATGTTTGACTAGATAAGCTAATGAATAGACTTATCAATAATTGTTTACCCAAAAATCCCAAAGTGGTAAACACCACCTTGGCCTGTTGGCCATTATTGAAAGCAATAATAGCCCATTTTAGCCATCCATTATGATCCATATACTGTTATTGTTAGTAGGATAACTGCAACATAAAAAATAACCGGTCAAAAATGCAAAAAAACTGAAAAAATCAAATAAATAAAATCATGAAAAAATCATTGATTTTGATTTTTTTTAAATCGAAAAAATCACCAACCATGGTCAGAGTCAGCCAGCTCTACAGCAATGAGCCCCTTCCACAGGTTGGGCAGCATTCGAGCATTTGGCCATTTCAAATTTTGTACAAGTTGAAAGGATGAGATGCTAGGGCAGTGAAAAGCTTTCCTTGGGAAGAAAGCATCGTATGTGAAGGATCATCACCTGGGTGCATGAACAGGACACAATTCCCAGTCACTGTCATCTGTCTGCTAGCCTGCAAGGATCACTGCAAGCTGAGAAGCACTAAGATTGCTCTCAAAGTTTTGAGAGTTCCCAGGCAGGCCAGGAGCTTGAAAGCCCTCTTTTTTTGGGAAGAGACATGACTCAGAAGCAGATGGTTTTCTTCAGCTACTACACTTTGCTTCACTTCACAACACGGGAGCGCAGTAGTGGGTAACAAAATTGACTTGTAAACAGGCCCTGGGCCTAACGCCAACCATCAGCACGCAATATCTAAACATAGCCTCAGATCAATGAGCTGTGGGTAACTCTGGCTAACAGTAAATCTGCTTTGCACAACACAGCCACTGCTTCACAGCGCCGGAGCACAACTGGCCAAAGCGCAACAGGCCCTACTGTAACAGGCAGCGCAGGTTAGGTTAGGTTACGTTAGGAGTAACTGTTGCAGCATAATGACACACCAGAGATTTTTTAGAATCAGTTCATTTTTAATATCCTCATTTATTCAAGATTTAAACCAATTTCTCAAGTATGATAATGCTGGTATCCATGATACTTTACTGGGGTAAACGCGGTATATTCCGACATCGTGGGTAATTCCGACACTTCTCAACTTTTTTCCTTTATATTAAGCTTTGTCTTAGTTCCACGCATTCATTGATGGTTGAAATAGTGACGTCATACTATTGCGCACCATACTATTGCCAAAACACTAGGTCTGGGCCGTCTGGCAGGAAAATGTTGAGATCCAAAGAGAGACAGTGCACGTCACTGAGAGAGAACATGAAAAAATGTGTCAAAGTTGATAGTTGACCTTGCTCTACCAAATAGTGATAAACTGTTTATGTAGAAAGAATATTATGGTTTGAGACTTTTAAATAAGTCTGTGAATATATTAGGAATCCTTCAAGTATACTTGTATTTGCTGATTTCAAGTGGTAAATAAATTAATAGATTATTAAATTAAGCAACGGTTTTGACACATACAAACTAATTCTGACACAGCTTGGAATTAGACACACAGCTTGTTCTGAGCTGTGTCTAAAAATTAAAATTTTCTTAATTAAAAGCTTAATAGCTCTCAATTAAAAGCTTAATTAAAAAATGACATTAATTAAGCTCATTCCAAGCTGTGTCGTATTCCAATACAGCTCACACAGGGCATCGGAATTCCAACACAGGGCGCTGGAATTACAAATTAATAGAGTTTGAAGCGATGCCGGAATTAGGTAGTCTCACAATATGCCAAATTTAGTCACACACAGCGTCGAAATTCAGGGATTTTATAGGTTTTAATTCTAAAGGCTTTCAAATAAATATGGCAAGAGTTTGTGATGTTTCATCGTTGCTAGCACAAAGTTTGGTGTTTTGAGAGTGACGTAAAGCAGTCAGAACTCAAGTTGCACATACGGTGATATTTTTATAGCCATTCATTTCTTGCTATGTCCTTAATGTGTCTGAATATACCGCATTTACCCTGGTCTACTTATAGGACTCAAAAATGGACTTGAGGAAGAGTCTAAAAAACTCTCTGCTTTGCCACTATGTGTTGCAGTAGCAACTAGGGCCTGTTTCGCTCCAGCCAGTTATGCTCCTGTCAGGTTTGGCAATGATTAAATCAAAATGATTAAATCATGCAATTAAATCACTTGATTTTTTATAAAAAAATCATGATTTTTTTCATATATTTAAATATATTGAGTGGCAGTCTTCAATTTATATTGAGGTATTGTTATTCATGGTTTAGTATAAATGTACTAAGAATGACAAATTGGTACATAAACTTGTTGCCTTTAGTGTGTATTAGGTTCCAATAAATTGAATGTGTTTGGTACAGAGGCATCAAGTGTGCAATACATTGTTTGTAGCTAGCAGCTTAGCTAATTCTTATAAGGCTATAAGTAGTCTTTAACTATTTGACTATTTGTTATATATTGATTACAATATACAATTTAAATGTGTTAGCTAGCTTACACAGGGTAGAGCAGAACTGATTGAACAGTTTTGAGGCAAAATATAAGAGTAATGGAGGTACATAAAGAAGAAAGTTTATTTTCCTCAAGATTAGCATAACATACCATATAAAATACTTATGTTTTGAAAACAATATCAGAAAGATGGAGTTTGTTAGCTGCATCACACTGTTGGAGTCATTCTTGGAAGTTTTCTACAGCACGTTCACACATATGGCGAGGTATGGCCATAACCTCTACTGCAATAATCTGTTTCCTTAGCTGTGGTAGGTTGTGAGGGCAACTTCTGAACACCCTTCTTTCCCAAATAAAGAAATCGCAAATGGTCAAATCGAGTGACCTCGCAGGCCACTGTAAATCACCCCTCAGAGACACCAGACATCTGGGGAAACATGCATTTCAAAACATTGAGTGACATTCGGGCTGTGTGAGCTGTAGCCCCATCCTGCTGGTACCACACGTCTCCCAATGCTTCATGCTCAACAATGTTTTCCATCATGGGCAGCAATAAATGTTGCAACATTGCAGCATAGCGATAGGAATTCACTGTTACGGTTACTCCCTCCTCTGAGAACGACTCCAACAGTGTGTTGCAGCTAACGGCCCCCATCTTTCAGATATTGTTTTCAAAGCATAAGTATTCTAAATGGTATGTCATGCTAACCTCTAGGAAAATAAAATTTCTTTGTTATGTACATCCATTACTCTTTTTATTTTGTCTCAAAACTGCTCAATTGGTTCTGCCCCACCCTGTATATTGAGAGGTTGAGATTGTATTGACCTTTAAGGCAATTAGAAAGATTTTCCACCCTAACACGAGTATTCTAATTAAAATATTTAATTTCAATCTTTAAATATGTGAATTTAAAACTAGAAAGAAAACAATTACAATTATAAGACTATATATAAAAAAATTAAATGCAGTGAATGGATATAAAATATTTTAATTGTGCACATGTTTATTTCAAACAGTGTTAGCTTTTCTCATAACTCCAGTCTCATTTCAAGTCGTATGAGGTTTGTATGGTTATCGTTCAGCTTATGTTTAGTATTGGTTTATTGGTCTGAATTAAATGGGAACAGTGCAGTCAGTCATTCAGTCACTACTAGTCAGTGTGTATAAAGAGGGTAGAATCTGGTAGATTTATAGGACATAAAACTAGTAGATCTATCGATAGTGCCGTGCACTGTGCTATCAGCTACCTATCTGTTATGTGACTGAAGTGTTTTTGTATATTGAAGACAGTTAAATGGTCAATATTTAGCTTATTACCTTGCTCCATACAAACTATACACAGCTAATGAATAGACTTGTCAATAATTGTTTACCCAAAAATCCCTAAGTGGCAAGCACCACCTTGGCTTGTTGGCCACTATTGAAGGCAATAAGTGCCCTCTTTAGCCATCCATTATGATCCATTTACTGTTATTGTTAGTAGGCTAATTGCAACATAAAAAATAACACTTCAAAAAGACAAAAAAAGGTGAAAAAATCCAAAAAATCAAATAAATAAAAAAATTATGAAAAAAAAATCATCAATTTTTTATTTTTTTATTAAAAAAAATAAAAATAGTCACCGACCCTGGCTCCTGTGCTGTGAACCAGTGCCTGTGACCCAGGGTGCAGAAGGTGGAAGCAGCATTGCCAATATATGGATTTTTAAACCCAAAGCGTCGCCAACCATTTTCAAGATGCGTCGCCAACCATTTTCAAGATGCATATCCAGGTAATTTTTAATGAAAAGCCATTTACGCTGAGTAATGAAAAACTATTTACAAGCCACGAACTTATTTGCAAGGCTGCATGCATGTTAC